AGTTAAGTAGTAAGTTTATTAGTTTATAGTAAGGACTATATAAGAATAGTAGTTTAAGTAGTAAAGTTTGTTAGTTTATAGTAAGGACTACTATAGTAAATATGTTTAAAGTGAAAGTTTATTAGTTTTATATAAGGGACACTATAGAAATATGTTTAAAGTGAAAGTTTGTTAGTTTTATATGAAGATTTTGAAATTTATATTTCAATTTTGATCATTATTTGATTTTGTTAATATAAAGGTGTTCAAGATGAACATGTTATGAAGTCCGTTTTTTTTTATACGGTGTGTTTATATATTTATACACTTACTTACGTACAGGGTTCAAAAAAGAATGTAGTTTGATTTTGCTGTGTAGAATCCGGCATGGTCAGGTGGTTAGGGCGTTCGACTCGTAATCTGAGGGTCGCGGGTTCGAAACCCCGTCCCATCAAACAAGCTCGCCCTTTTAGCCGTGGGAGCGTTATAATGTTACGGTCAATCCCAAGAGTTGGCGGTGGGTGATGATGACTAGCTGCCTTTTCTTTCACTGCTAGATTAGGAACGACTAGCGCAGATAGCCCTCGTGTAGCTTTGCGTGAAATTCAAAACAATTTTGCCCCCCCCCCGTGGCACAGCGGCATGTCCGCGGACTTACAATGCTAGAATCCGGGTTTCGATACCTGTGGTTGGCAGAGCACAGATAGCCCATTGTGTTGCTTTGTGCTTAATTACAAACAAACATCCTTCCATGTTATACATCGTTTCTTTTAACACCCTGATCATCCTTCCATGTTATACATCGTTTACAAAATCCTTCTCCTACCACATATTCTAAAGAAAGTTCTTGACCTAACCGTTCAGAAACCCTCCTGCAGTACAAATATGCTTACATGTATCAACTTTTTTTGAACCGTTTCTCTTGAACTACGCCCTCCAGTGGCACAGCGGTATGTCTGCGGACTTACAACGCTAGAATCCGGGTTTCGATACCCGTGGTGGGCAGCGAAAGAATAGCCAGGGTGTTAAAAGAACTAAACGTTTGCTAAGAACGTGTAAAAGGGAAAGCGTTTTGAATGGACGGGTAAAAAAAATCCTCATATATATATATATATAGTATAGAAGAGGAAGTTTTGAATTGACAGATGAAACAGCTTATAATGATGTATATTACGAAGAAAAGTTTATGGCACTTAAAATTCCGTAGTGTGATACTTGGTTACTGAAACATCCACATTGAAGAAATATCATTGAAACTGCTAACATGACAGGGTTTTATTTACTAAATAAAACCATATGTTCAGTTAATGGTATTGAATGTTTTCTAAAGCGTTTCATTTTTCTTCCGTATAGCCAAACCAAAGTAAAGAACCTTCTGCATCATCCAAGCAGAAGTTGGAAAACGCCATCCAACAGCCAGATATCGTTGTGGAAGAATTTGAGAGTAATGATGAAGCCATGGAAGATCAGGACAATGGTCAAGTCCAGTGTTCCAGAACTGAAGAAGACAGTTCTCCAACTGACCAAGATGATGTTACAGACTCCTCCGCGATCACTTATCGCAGTGCAGAGGATTTGGAAAAAGAATTTCAGGAACAGGAAACCGAGAATATTTCACAAAATGACAACATCAGTCAAGAAAAAAGTGAGCTGGCACAGAATGATGATGATGTTGTGCCTGATAAAGATTCAGAAAATGGTGTTGCTGAAGGCCTCTCGTTGCATTGACGATAAAAACGTATTTGTGTGAAGGAGACTGAATGATGTTGAGCCTTTCCTGTTCCATAGTTTAAGTATTCAATACCATCTAGTATTCACATATCATCAAGATGCTCATTCAAACAATACATTTGCTTCTCTAGCACAGCGGGGAGTTTCTTCAAAGTTTTAAACATCTAAGATGACACTATCGACAATAACATTTCCCACTTCTGTCAGTCACAATGATTCAAGCACATTTTGATATCTATGGGCTCTAAAATACTTACATGTATAGTAAATTAGAATTTCTAACTATATTAAGTTTTGATCTGACAGTAAAAGGAAAAGAAATACTCTCATGAAAAAGGTCTATTTTCAGCTAATTAAAAATGTAGAACTTGTATAAATAACTGTCGTTGCTAATCTCAGCGGAAATTTATGTTTCGCTTTAAATGAGTAGTTTTTAAACTTTATCATAACTTTTCCTTGTTTATTCAAGACACGTGGGGTAGAACTGAGTTATTACTTTACAGAAGAATGTGTATAGTCATTTGATAGTTATAAGAATAGTGCATTTAGAGTTTTTAAAAGTAAAACTCGGTCAACTCTCTCATTGAAGTAGTTTGCTAAGATATTAGTTTTTGGAGCTGGTAAACTAGTTTTGTTAATTACTCTAAAAATTGATGGAGAGCAGAACGCTTTTCGTTAGTTCTCAGTCGCATCGCTATACATCTTTGATGAATCTGTTCACTTAAGGTTTTCCGAAACATAGTGTGTGTGTATATATATATATATATTTATATAGATATAGATATTTATAGATATATATATATTTATTTACGCGTGTGTATCGACAGTATATTCTTTCTCAAGTGTGTAGTTTACCATTTGTTGGTGTTTAGTCTGTGTTGGTTTTTGTTATAGATATATATATATATTGTGCACATTCTTGTTAATAGATAAACCATGGCAGGCCATGGAAGTTAAAACTGTTTAAGTTATGATACCACGTTCTTATAGATAACGTTAAGTATTAGGCTAAATAAGGTTTGGTTCTTTAAAGTATTGCATCTTACTGCAGTATTGAAGAAGGTTGAGACTTTAAGGATACTGTTCTTGTCTCTTTTGACTATCAGTTACCCATTAGAATTTAGTACTTTTCTCCTTATTGTTAAGATGTGATTGCTGCACGTGCACCATGCCAAAAATATCTTTCTTATTTAACTGGATTTTTATGTATATATATTTTAGCCAATTAATCTCAGTGATTTTAAATTTTTATTATTCTAGATTTCCTTTTACATCATGCCAAGTTTTTTCTTTTTTGTGTACGTGTCGTTTGCTTCTTCATTTAGAAGTACGTGTTTCTCAATAGAAACGTTGAGTAGATTTAAAATGTTTGGTGTTTAAACTTTTTTGACCATCGTACTGACCACATTAGCTCATAATATATATATATGATTTGACTCATGGAATGTACAGTTGTTGTTGTTTTTTTTGGAGATTTTTATGACATTCCGTGTGTAGAATGAATGAGTTATGTTTGATTGATTTCTTTATTTAGGATATGTGTGTTTGGTCTAATGTACAGTTGTATACAGTACATATTGAAAAGTTAATTTTCATCCCTAGTTTAAGTAATTCGGGATGTAAGTAAATATGTGGTATCCAGGCTTATGTGTTACTGAATGTGTGGTAATATTTGATTTAATGATTTGTCCAGTACAGAATATGTGACTGTGTGTAGCTAATAGTTATCTACTACAAAATTTATAAAAACTGTGTGACCTATTGGCTTGTCCAGTACAGAATGTGACTCGTTTGCTTATTTATTACGAAATTTATGAACTTGTTACCTCTTTGGTTATGCAGTACAGTATGTATTTGACCTTTATGACTGTGTCTTTCAAAATGAATGAACTTATTTGATTTGCATGATTATGGTATACAGAATGTATGTAAGTGTTTGACCTTTATGATTATGTAGTACAAAATGAATCAATCTGTTTGACTTTTATGATTATGTAGTACAAAATGAATCAATCTGTTTGACTTTTATGATTATGTAGTACAAAATGAATCAATCTGTTTGACTTTTATGATTATGTAGTACAAAATGAATCAATCTGTTTGACCTTTATGATTATGTAGTACAAAATGAATCAATCTGTTTGACTTTTATGATTATGTAGTACAAAATGAATCAATCTGTTTGACTTTTATGATTATTTAGTACAAAATGAATGAATGTGCTTGGTCTTTCTGAAGTACAGAATGTATGAAAACTTTGTCTATTTGCTTATTTAGTGCAAAATGTATGAATGAGTTTGACTTTCATAATTATGTAGTACAAAATGTTTCAGTGTGTTTCATCTTTATGATACTGCATTATTACAGAAAATAACGATGTACGATTGTATTTTACTTTTTTTACTAATTTAATTTAAAGGATATGATACTATTTCACCGTTATTATTATGTAGTACAGAGCGTATATAAATGTGTTTAGCATTATATAACACAGATTGTATATTAAATTAAATGTATTTGGTCGTTATGGTTATGTTGTACAGATTGTTTGAAACTGGCCTTTGTGGCG